CCTCCGTACCACCAAGCAGGAGATCTCTGAGCTCAACCGCCACGTCCAGCGGCTGCGGTCGGAAATCGACAGCGTGAAGAAACAGGTAAAAAGCACCAAACTCCCACTTGTAACCAATTCACACCCTGACTGGCAAGGGAGAGGAAGCAAAATGTCAGAGGCAACCCGCGCAAGTTCTGCTCAGTTTGATCCTTTTTCTCTCTGAAAGAAACTGTCACTAAAAATGGTTAAGCTGCTGGTGCTGCAGCAAGATCTTGTGATTTCAGAGTAAAGAAAGAACAAGTCTCAGTCTCGTGGGGGGAACCTGAGTGGGGGTTTCTGTTCTGCAGTGTGCAAACCTGAAAGCGGCCATCGCAGACGCCGAGGAGCGCGGGGAGCTGGCCCTCAAGGATGCCAAAGCCAAACTCTCCGAGCTGGAAGATGCTCTGCAACAGGCTAAGGCAGACCTGGCCCGGCAGCTCCGCGAGTACCAGGAGCTGATGAACGTCAAGCTGGCCCTGGACATCGAGATCGCGACCTACAGGAAGCTGCTGGAGGGCGAGGAGTGCAGGTGGGTGGGAAACAACCCTCCAAGTCCTGACCTTGGAGGAACAAAGCAATGCGAGCACTGGAGATGCTCAAATTTCTGAAATGCTGAACAGGGCATTAAGGGGCGAGGAGGGGGGAAGATTGTCCTGGCTAATGGAGATCACATTGCAGGAAGCATCCCCGAATTTCACCAAGTTTTCACTTTTCTCCCCAAAGGCCCCCAGGAAATGTACAGTATTCTCCCTCCCGCCCCCAATATCAACAGACTTCTTATCCTCTTACTTTGCTGTGTTCTGTCCCCTAACAGGCTGGCTGGAGATGGCGTCCCAGTGAATATCTGTAAGTCTCTAAAACACATCTGCAGTTTCCTTCCTTAAGCATTAGTGTGCCTCTGCACCAAGAAGCTCGTACCCAGAGAAACTGAAAAGCTTTTCCTTCTCCTTGCAGCTGTGACCAGAACCACCGTGGGAACGGGATATGGAGGAGGGAGCAACCTCAGCATGGGAGGGGGAATCTGCAACATGGGGAACAGCTTCAGCTGTGGAAGCGGCCCCGGGGTGACCAGCACCACCCTGGGAGGCGGCAGCAGCTCCAGCGTGAAGTTCGTCTCAACCTCCTCCACCAGAAGAAGTTACAGAAGCTAAAAGAAAACTCCAGAAAACACCTTAACGCTGGTCCTTTACAAAGCCTAGCTGGGTCAACAGAACGAGGGCCACCTAAACCCTGGGTCTTGTCACACGGGAGCCTCACCTTAGGAACTCGCTCTCAGCACGCGGCGTGTGGGGCTCTGCTATTGAACATGAGTCCAACTGTTCTAAATTTGCAACTTGCTTGTTACAGCTCAGCATTTTTTGGCCGGATTTTGTATATAAAATGTGTCCCATGACTGACTGTCTCTCTTCACTTTCTGGTGTTTGTCTAATAAAAATGCATATGTAATTTATTCTATTTTGTGGTCCTTTTAATTAAAGGCATAGAACAGCAAATGCAAATACAGGTAACAAGCACTTTTACTAGGGCCCAGCCCTGTTAGAGGCTCAGATTTTGGCTCCTTGTTCCCATTTCCTGCCTCTCTCCACGAGCAGCCAGAACACACAGGCACAGCAGCAGCGAGGGGAGGTTTGCTGGGGGTTGCAATGTTCTCCCCGTGCAGGTAAAACACCTGAAGCTAAACGCCGGGCACGCCACGGCAAGAGCTGGGCACAGGGAAAAAGGTCTAAGATTCATTTACTGCACAGCTTCCAGCCACCACAACAACCAACAGCCTGGCTCCCAGGGGGCACAAAGGGCAGTGCCAAGTGGGTGATGTACCTGCATCAGCTTCTGACAATGGGGAACTAATTACCTGGGGAGTCAGAGCAGCCACCTGACCTGCTCAAGTCTATCAGTCCATCTCAAAACCCATTCTACTGTGAGCTGCCTCACCTAGGCATAGGTGCCAGCAGTGCAAACATCTGCCCGAGCGGGTTGAGAGCTCTCCTGTTTGGTTCAGAGCACTGGCCACACTGGTTTAGGTGTTTTTCCTGGGTCTCGATGCTGATGCTCCCTCACCTTTCATTATAAGCAGGCAGAGGACCTAGTCCATACACATTCATTTGCTATACTCAATAAAATGTTGCTTATATAACAGCTATAAAAAATATCGAAGAATGTTGCAAAGTTAAAGTCTTCAAGATTCATGTTTCTTCACATCCCTAGGGTACACTGAAGCCAAGATCTTGTTTTGAGAAGGTGAGGAAGAAGCAGAGGAGATGCAGCGATTTAAGAGGTGGTTCTGACTAACCAGGAGAAATTAACTGAGCTACAGAGGGACAGATGTCATTGCTGGAAGATCAGTTGAACAAAGAGATGTGATTAGACAAAAAAGTCCCAATCCTCACCCCATGTATTTCAATAAGTTCAAGAAATGGGTTGAGAAGCACTCTCAACAAAATACTCAAAGGGATGGGCAAAAGGAGTGGAACTGGCAGTGCCTCAACAACAGACTGTATTCGAGTTTTCCTTTGAGACCAAGAGTTTCCCAGAATTTTCTAGGATTCCCTGAAGTCTACATGTTCCTCTCTGTATCCCTCAGGAAATTTCCTTCCCCTAAACTTGCAGGCTTGGTTCTGGGTGTGCTGCAGCTCTCCACTCCTGCTCCACCTGCTCTCCCTGCTGAATACTCTAGCAGCTTCCTGGGAAGGAGCAATATCCTCACTCTGAACAGCAGCCTGGGCAAGGTTAAGTAATGGTCTTCTCAAAGCTGCCCAGACACCCTCTAACCAGAGAGGATACAACAGCTATAGCCAACAGGCATGTCAGATGGATGCCACCCATTGCATCAACACCTGGGTCATAACAGAGACTACAAAGCCCTTCATCTAGCAAGGGACAGGCTCAGGACAGAATATTTGTCCTCCCAGGGCATATCTTTTGAAGCAAGACACAAAAAACCACCCTGGCACAGGTTGGCATCTCCGGATACGTCACCAGCGTACAGCTGCCCTTGGTCCAGAGCAGGGCTCTGGTCTCCACGACCATAACCTGCAACCAGCCCCCTGGGACAAGTTAAACAGGGGGAGCGATGACCTGGGGCTTATATATCAGTGGGAGAGGACAGCCCTCATTAACTCTAGCCCAGCCCAGATTAAAACCTTAGTCATACCAAAATGAGCAGTGCTCGCACTCAGGGGCTTGAATTTGCAATGCATGGAGGAAACAATTGTCACCCAGAACGTTTTGACAGAGTTCTTCAGGACACACAGTCAGGAGCTTAGTCAGAGAAGCTCTGCTCTCTTAAAAACTGTGCTTGTTGTAGCACACAGCAGCTGAAGCACTCCCAGAACAGTTAGTTTAGCTTTGTTCCAGGGCGTGTAGTGGAAACACTAGAAGAATAGAGAGCAAAGTAGAATAATAAAAAAAACAAAACAGAAAAAAAACCCAACCCCAAGCCAAAAGGCATGGCTGAAGGGCAAAAAGAGCTGACAGACATCTGCCAATTACCCTCCTGGGACCTTCTGGCCAAACTGACTCGACAGCCTGGCCTCCAGAGGTGACATGGCAAGCACAAGCACGCGCTCCAACGATGCGCCCGCGACACACGCTCCACAGCCCAGCGCCTGCACGAGACTTTTCAGTGGCTGGAGAAAGCTCCAACTCCCCAGCAATGCTCTGCAGGTCGGCTGCTGCCTCCTCTGATGAGCAGGTGTCCCCCATGGGCATCCACAAGAGACGCGTCCCTTGGCAAACCCAATGGGCTGCAGGCTCGGAGGGAGCCACATCCACCCCTGGGCATCTGGACGAGACCCTGGAGCACCTTGGCTGTTCTAGGATAAGTGACCATGTGCCACCACACAGCACACAGGCTGACCAAGACACCGTGTGGCTCTCACCAGAGAAATGCACCGTTTGACTTGTCCTGGGTGCTCTGTGGACTGGAGTAAAGGGAGTTGCCTGTGAACAATGTCATAAGCCCAGATCCCAAGCACCGAATTTCCTTGTGAGTAAGAGGTATCAGAGGGGGAAGACAACAGATGTGGGGAGGAGGGCAGACTGGGAAGAGGCTTCACACCATGTAGAGACAAGGTCAGCCCGTGAGTCAGGAAACAGCCCCAAAACCTGGGAAGGTGAAGCCCTGAGAAATTGCTAACTCAGTTTTTGTGTCGTCACAAGCAGCGGTAACTCCCTCCCAGGTCACATTCTGGTATTTCTTCATCTGCTGTCAGCCTGAATCAGGATGAAACGTAGGCATTTTTCACAGAGAGAGAAGACCCCAAAACATCATTCATAAAACTACCTTCCACATCCTTCCCACTCCCTGGTTGGTTTTTGATAGCTGATGGTCCAAGACATCCACTAATGCCCCATCAGCACCCTGGCTCTCCCTCCATCACCTCTTTCTCCCTTCTGTATCAGTTCTGGTTTCAATGATTCTTGTTTGGGCATGAGAAGAAGAGTCCAGAATTTACAACAAGTCAGGGCCTGAGGTGCTGGAGCCCCGCTGAGCTTTACTCGGAACCACAGCAGCAGGAAACACAGACCTGCAACAACAGATTTCTCAGACCTCGGACCACTGCACCCCGAAATAACGCAACAGAGGGATTGATTCATCCCGCAAACAGAGATGAGCGAGCGCTTGCCCAACACGAGGAACCATCTACTACAGACGTGAAAGGAGGGAGTGGAGGAGGGACGGCTGCGAACAAGAGCTGAGCAGCCAGTATTTTAGTGTTTTCTCAGATATTTCGACAGTCAGATCATGACTGTCACAAAAAAATGCAACTCCTGCACTTTGCGAGAGCCTGTGCTGGTGGTGAACTCACCGTCCGTCCGCTGCTGGGTGTGCCGAGCCCGGCTGATCAGTACGATGAGCACCACGCCAGACCCATCCCCAGCTGTGAGGGTATAAAAGGGCCGTTCCCAGCCTGGGGGAGCACAACTTCACCTGCCTGCCTTCAGCCACCCTGCTCTTCCCACCGCTCCCACCAGCTGCCATGTCTCGCCAGTGTGCTGCCAGGAGCCAGAGCAAAGCTGGCTTCAGCGCTGCCTCTGCCTGCATCCCAAACGCCAGCAGCACCAGCCTCTGCTTCCCTCCCGCATCCCAAGGTGGGAGCTGCGGTACCGCCGCCGGGTATGGAAGGTTTGCTGGAGGTTTTGGAAGCAGGAGCCTCTACAGTCTTGGTGGATGCAAGAGGATATCGGTAGCTGGAAGAGGTGGCGGCTTCTATGGACCTGCAGGTTTTGGTGCTGGCACCGGGATCTCCTGTGGTTTTGGTGGTGCCTTCGGGTTTGGTGGTGGCATGGGTGGCCCTGGATTCCCTGCTGTCCCCGCTCGGGGCATCCATGAAGTCTCCATCAACCAGAGCCTTCTGAAACCTCTCAACCTGGAGATTGATCCCAGCATCCACAGCATCCGTAAGGATGAGAAGGATCAGATTCAAACCCTCAACAATAAATTTGCCTCCTTCATTGACAAGGTGAGACACGAGACGTCTTGTGTTGACTCTTCAGTGGGGAAGCACAAACAAGGGCAAGTTTTATCTTCATCTGAAATTTTGCTGCTCCTCTATTGCCTGGGAATAAGACCTGAGGGGTTCCAGCTTTAAGACCATTCATGACACATGTTAATGCTGAGATGAGACCAGCCAACAGGGGGGAAACGGTGAAATAGGACGTAAGGAAGCAGAGTCTGCAGAGAGCAGGAACATTAACATCAGATGTGCAATGTTTGCTTGCTTGTATCCATTGTCAGCAGGACTGAGAGCTCCCACTTTGAGCAAGCGAATCCCTCCAGGACTCTACCTTGCCTTGATAAGGGAAACCATCCTAAAATCACTGTTTCTGAAACATCTTTCTCTATCCAGGTCCGATTCCTTGAACAACAAAACAAGGTCCTGGAGACCAAGTGGGCCCTTCTGCAAGAGCAGGGGAACAAAAAGGTCGGAAACAACATCGAGCCCCTCTTTGAGACCTACATCAACAACCTCAGGAGGCAGCTGAACAGCTTGCTGACCGACAAGGAGAACCTGGGAGGGGAGCTGAACAAGGTGCAAAGCCTTGCTGAGGACTTCAAGAACAAGTAAGTCCATCCCTTTGTGTGTCTGGAGAACAGGGTGGGCTCTGACAGACGCCAGCTCTGTGCAAGCAAAAAAGGGGAGGTCTTTTTGCTGATGAAATCTTCTGAGTAAGGCCCAGGTTAAGTTCAGTATGAGACATATTCAGCCTCACCTCCCCATGGCTTAAAGTCAGAGACAGAAAGTTATAGGGTTAAGAGACCAGGGTACAAAACTGTATGTACAAAAAAACCTGCAGAGCCTGGTCTTGAAAATATGAAGTAACTTTTGTACAAGCCTAGACCAACCCTCCACTTCCATCCCCCAGATACGAAGAGGAGATCAACAAGCACACTGCTGTGGAGAACGAATTTGTGATCCTGAAGAAGGTGGGTGGATGCACACCGGGCTTTTCGTCTGCTTCTCAAAAAAACCTACCCACTTCTCTTCATTTTTGTGGTATGTCTCCTCTTCTAGGAGGTGGATGCTGCCTACATGAACAAGACAGAGCTGCAAACCAGGCTGGATGCCCTCACAGAGGAGATCGACTTCCTCAGAGCCCTCTATGAAGCTGTAAGCACCAGAATTTGCATCCTTCTCCCAGTTTCCAACGTTCTTGCCTTCCTTCCCCACTCCCGAGGCTCAGGACTGATTATTTTTCCATCTGTCACACTAAATAATTCAATCCTTTTTCCATTTCACCTGATCTCTTAAACCTGCCAAAAACTGCCTTGGAAAAGTCACTTTGTCCACCCCCTGACCTGGGGGGTTTCCTCCCTCTGAGCGACGTTCACGTCTCACGCTTGTGACTCAGTGGAATACCTGCTGCATTTGCAGGAGCTTCAGGAGCTGCAGGCCCA